AGCAACTTCTGGCTGCACCCAGCTTGAATTTCCTGTCTACTGTTTTTGCTGTATTCATTTAATTAAATCAATTAAAACATTTTTAAAACTTTATTTTTGTTTTAAAATGTTCTCTTAATGGATCTCTGCTTTGTGCTATAGGCTAAGTGCAGTAAACATTAGATTGCCCTGTTCTCTTGTGTAATTCGTTTTCATGATATTACGTTACATGGTTTTAGTTAGGATGAGAGTTACAGGCAGTTAAACCAAAGAGCTATTGTTTCCTTCTTGGATTATTTCACATGAAGGATGAGACACACAATAAAAGTACTAATATTTCACAAGACAAATGCAAAAGAATAGAATAAAGTCTGTATAAATAGACATAATATTGTGTTATTTTTATCTTTCCTATCCCTTTAATCAGCTGGTGACCCCTCAGTTTTCTATTGGGCCCCCCTTAAGTTCGGTCATGGTATAAAGCAACACATTGCAAACAAACATTTAAACACACTAATGGCACAGGGCTCTCAATAAACATTTTATTTGTGCTTGTTGCAGACATATTCAATACAACCATAAAACAAAAACAGATACAGTCCACCTTAAACAGCGTTTGGTCTCTTTCTTATTTAGCCACAAGGGGACACTTTAACACCAGCTCAGTTAGTTGGTTTAGCTGCATTCTTCCGTTCTGTAAAGTTTTACATTTCCTGATGAGTGTGTCACCACCAGTGTTAAAGGAACAGTTTATAATACTGGTTCATCACATATCTTTATATCAGTGTGCATGGGGTCAAACATTACATAAAATGTGAAAAAAGTGCATATAAAGTACTTTATAGACAACATCAGCACTCCACTGTTTCTCCAGTAGATTTCATAACAATCTGCAAATCGAGCTTGCAGTGTTAAGAATTGTTCAAATGTAAAAAAAACCCTGCATCCACCACATATCTTTGGTAAGCAAATCTGAAGTATGTTCACTTGTTAATGATGAAGAGTCTGAAGATAATCTGCAGTAGCTGTCAGTATCAGACCTAAAACAGTCAGAGTCAGTTTGTCTGTAACTCAGACCTTAAATAAATAAAAAATATATTATCTATCCATCTATCTATCTACTGGGTTTCATATCTTTACTATACTTCCTTTATTGTTCTCTCTCTACTAGGCACTGCTCGTAAGTTGCATCTCTCTTTCTTTACTTTTTAATGTTTAACGATATTTTAAGTCCAACTCAGGACTTTGGCACAATGGCTTTCTACAGCTTCGTTTTAAACACTGCACAGGGTTTGTTAGTGAGCTTAGCTGGCGATCTTTATACACTCTGCACCCACATTTCGTTTAAAAACAACATGCAAAAAATCACTGAATGAAGACAAACTAGTTTCACAAAAAAAGTTAATTACAGGTGCAGAAATAATTATAATACAGTCAGTATTTCCTGGAATGTAACAAATGTACTGACATGTTAGATTCTGTAAAGGGTGATCTATTGAGAGTTACGACACTTTCTGCGTCAACATACGAGGCTCTTACTCAGCGAGAACTTATGGCTCCACATTGAAAGTGCAGCTGCCCTTGATGTCCCTGAAGGTGGAGCAGTCGAAGTCCACCAGGATAGTCCTCTTCCCGGTCTTGTAGGGGACGAAGAAGAACGTGACACGTATTCGGGTGCTTGGCTTCATATTTGGAATCCTGTGGATTAGACAAAAAAAACAACTCTGAATTTGTTTTTTGTAGACAACACCCATTTTAATTGATGCAGTAAAACATCCCAATATCCCAACTGGGTATAGAACCACAGAACCCATTTGGTGCCGGTTAAAATGTGTCTCGAAAACTGTCAAGTACCAAAAGCTGGCGTCAAATGTCTCCTCAGATTCATATTGTTGACCAGACAGTTCCTGATTTAAGTCCAATTTTTTTAGATTCTTTTATTTAGACAAATTTGTTGTGCAGCTGCTTGTGTTCAAACAGAGAAAATATATTTTTACCTAAGTTAGTTTTAGATATTTATCAATGAAAATGCCTGAAAACATTTGCTAGTTGCAGCTTTAATTTGTTTTCATATCATTAAGAATTCTTTTGGACATTCTGGTTGCTCATCAAATAAAAAAGATAAAGATTAAGTGATGACTTTGACATTAATGGTTACCTGAGTTAACCTCCTGAGGCCTTGAATAGCATTTGACACCCTTGTGAGGTTATGTTAGACACACACACACACACACACACACACACACACACACAGAGAGAGAGAGAGAGCGAGAGAGAGACACTCACTTGAATTCAGTATCATCTTTCCAGAGGCCACTTCCAGAAAGAGTCAGAGTGCAGTCCTTCAGCGTCTCGTTGACCGGGTTCATGAAGATCACTTCCCCACTTGCCCCGTGGTACAGTCTGACCGGACCGGACACCTGGAACACACATACATCTCAGCACATTATTCAAACGCACACAAACTGCAACCTGGTCAAACAACACGACCCATCATGCACCAAGACAACAGAGAAAAAGTTATATCTTCTAATGTCTGTCAACACAAACATTTAATATTGCTATCAAGCTGTATTACACACACCACATTCAAAATATGCATTTTCATGTTTTTGTCAGTAATGCTTGAAATATATTATGATTGACCAAATTTCAAATCATGTAACATGACGGCCGTATCATAAAAAGCCAAATATAGGAAATATAGGAGTCAGTATTAAATATACGATATATACTTTCTATACGTTTATAATATATATATTTATAGAGGGACTAAACTCATTTAAAAAAAAGGCTCCTGCACTTCAACTTTCTGGAGCTTCAAGAGCTAAAGGGCAGGAATTTCTGGCAGGCAACTGTTTCTTTTGTGTGTGTGTGTGTGTGTGTGTGTGTGTGTGTGTGTGTGTGTGTGTGTGTGTGTGTGTGTGCGTGCGTGAGTGAGTGTGAGCGAACCCTGCAGCAGCACACAGATTTAGCTCACACAGGACTGAACACATTATTCTTACATAATAATCCCACAGGGGAAGAAAAAAAGTCATTAATGGTGACAGTTTGTAGCTTGAAGGCAAAACCGACAGAGAGATTAGTAAAACAGAAAGTAAAAAACGATAAAAGATAACATGTTCTGTTGATGCTTTTGTGGCAAAGAAGTGGTGGGAAATAGTGCACACAGACATTTTTCTCAAAACAGATCTCAGGGGGTCTCGTCACGTTGAGGCTAATTAACACATACTGTAGAAATCCCTGAAAACCTCTCATTTAGTTGTACTGATTATTATCATTTGCACTTTGATAGATCAGGAGCGGCACAGCGTAGTGACTGATTGTAAACAGCCAACTAATTCTCTCTTTTTTAAGCCACGTTAGCAGCACGGCTCCACAGCGACATTGGTTGGTCCGCCACTTCGGTGCATAAAATACGTCAACAACAGCCTACTGACATTTATTGTCATCCCCTGACTTATAGCACCACCAGCAGGTTGAAATATCTGAGTAAGTATCCACGGTACACTGATCCCTGACCTTTAAACTGGTGTCACCAGTAGGTTTCATCCTGGGTAATATCTCCATTTTGTACAGACAATCATGGCTTCAAGAGGATGAATCAGTTTGGTGAATCTCGATAAGATTTCCACATTCATGGGTTTGGCTATCAGCTATTACATTAACTGGCATGAAATGTGGTGTATCATGTTCATCATGTTCCCCTCAAGATGAACTGCAGTAACTTTGAAGATCCTCTCACTTATTACCCGGCACTTTCATCAGGACATAATGCCAATCTCAATGTGCAAAACTAAGCCTCAGATGTACTTTGTGTTTGATTGTTGGATATTTTGGGGTTCCTATTGCTGTGTGGTATTGTTATATTTATGTTATGTTACCTAGTTTCTCATGTTCATGTCTGTATTTTTGTACTGGCATTTGATTTTACAAAGAGATAGACAGAGAGACTGGATTTTCTACTCACGGTGACAGAGAAGGGAGGCTCAAGCAGCACAACGTTATCCTCAGCCAGGTATTTGTTCTCGGGGTTCTGTTTGTCAGTGACGATGGCTGAAACCTTCATGCTGTCACTGTCGATCATGTGTTTACTGTAGGCCAAGAATGGGACCAGGATTGGGATGGACAGATCTACCAGAGACAGCGGAAGAGAAGGGAGATTTAAAGTTGGTTCACAACCAAATTTCCACAAAAACATACAGAATTATTTTCAGCTAAACCTCGTGGTATCTTTGAGATTTCCGCAACTTCTCTGTCCAGAAAATTTCCACAGAAGAGGAGTCACCTTTCCCGGGCAGCAGCGTCTCCTCCTTCACCTCAGCCTGGATGTTCGCTGCTGGCGAGCCGTTGTACGTCATGGCTTGGACGCTGATGTGGATGGACAGCGGCCTGGAAACAGTGCTCTCACTGTTCAGCACCAGCTTCAGGCTCACATCCTTACCGTTCATCGGTTTGGACTCCTGCAGCACCACACAATGAGAAAATGAGACGTTGTGCATTTATTAGAAAACAGACGTCAACACATTTTTGTGACGTGGCCGGAAATGAGGGGAGAGAGACTGGAGTCAGCAACAGAGTTTCCCAGGGGGACTCGAACCGGAGACGTTGCGCTTTGTGCTCAGCATCTAAGTTTTATTTTAAAAATGACATTTCTTAAAGCCAGAAAGAAAAACATCCTGTTCAATAGCTCTAAAGGGAAACTTTAGGGAGTGTGGCTTCTGCGACATACCTTTTCAAATCGAATGAACACTTGCGGCAGTGGAGGCGTCGTGTCCACATTTACTTCATCCTCAGTTCGTATGGCCTCAGGGTCTGTTGTCTCGTTCCCCTCTGTCCCCCCATTCTCGACTGTCCCCCCATTCTCAACTGCCTCCTCCTTCTCTTCATCCTTGTGAGTCATGTTTCTGGTGCTGGCGTATAAAAAGACAGACCTCTCCTTGTCTGTTCCTGTAAGGGTAGTTATTCAGTTAATTATCAGAGCCACTGTTGTGCAGCATTAAACAGCTGAAGGTTTTTGCGCAGCCTGTCGATCAGGTGAACTCACCCTCTTTTTGTTTGTAGGAGTCGGTGATGTTCAACCTCTTCCTGGAGCCAATGGACTTTGTGGAGATATTCTGACCGATTCTCTTAGTGTCAGACCAGATGTTCACATGTGTCCTGTCAGCTTTTACCTGAAAGACAATACAAACAAAAAGAAATGAAACAAAATCTGAAATAAAATAAGCTTTTTGAACTTTTGCTGTTTTTGACTGTGGCTGCCCCCCCTTTTGATATCTGTCACTAACCAGCCAGTCAATACAGTCTGCATTGACTTCAGCGAAGACAAATGGGACGTCATATTTGAGATCTGTGTCTCCATTCAGGATGGCTTTGACTGGGGCTGGACCGCAGCAGTAGACCCCTACAGGAGGAGAGACAATTCAGATCATGAAATGGAGCAATACACTTCTCAACTGACGGTGGAGTGGCATTTTCTTTTCATTTACTTTAAAATTCACATTTTGGTTTTTTAATTGTCTCCATATAGTCTGTTTACTCTGGTTACACCTTCATAATGTAGCCTGCACACTGTCTACCCTTCATTACACTACTCTCTCGCATACACGCTGGAAACAGACTGCCCTGCAACTCCCTGATTCACACCCACATGCCTCCAAACAAACGTGATAGAGATGGCGCATTTCACGAGTTTTGGACATGCAGAAAAGGACAAAATCGGGTGACCTTTGTTGTCATGATAACAACAGTCAAGTGACTTTTATCGTCATAGTGACCTAGACATAAGTGACCTTTGTGGTTAGCGCTGTGAAACGGGGTGCTCTGGTAGATCAGACCTGGTCCCATGTACCAAGGCTGAAGTCCTGCAGCGGCCATGGGTTTGAATCCATCGTGTGGCCCCTTGCAGCATGCCATCCTCTCTCTCTCTCCCCCCCCTCTCCTCCACATTTAAAAGCAAAAAGCCCCCAACCTCCTCCCTACGTGGAATTTATTGCTTTTGACACCACCTGACATTTTTTTGTCTATTATATTTGCACTGAAAATGTACATTTAGAACTCAGTAGAGACTGAAATATGACATGAAATCAAAAAAGGCATTGTGATAAAACACAAAATGACTTAATACTTCTATAGACACAAATTATGTTTGAATATAACTCTGACGTTTAGTTTTAAAAAATAAATTAATAAATAAATCCCTGTTTGGAAGGCATTCAGAATTATTGAGTGACACTGTCAACAAATCTCAGAATAGAAAGAGGTCAGCATGTACAATTAGGACGAGAAACAGGGTCATCAGAGCCGGGAAGAAAATGTGTCCCAGTTAAAGTTTATAGAGACGAACAAGAGAGTCAGTACCTTCACTCTTCTCCTGTGGCGTTGGATCCAGAACTTGCCATCCATCGTATTTGCCGTCTTTTGACAGGTCTGGCCGCCTCATCCATGCCTCCACCCACACGTGGTAGTTCCTGATACACAGCAAAACATTCAGACTGTGCAGCAGTGCAGTAGACTGAAACACACACTGCAGAAATATGATAAATGCTTCACTATGTTCATCAGCTAGCTGCTAACTGTGCCTGTCTGCTGTTTGGTGCCAAGCTGGTAGCGTGCACTGCTTTTTGGGGGCTTTTTTGCTAAGAAAACAGCTTTCTGCGACACTTGAAAAAGACCCTACAGTATGAGAGAGGTGAGAGTGAACTAAAAACAGTGCTGTGTGCCTGACAGCTACACAATGAGCTGAAACTCACTATAAAGTTCTGCAAAGGTGAGGGGAGCTGCTATCATTTCATACATTATCATAAAATGTATGATCTGGTTTAAAATTGCATTTTGGAAAGAAATAATGGAAATAGTTTCCAACAACTTCCACAAAGAAATCCCTTTATACCTGAAGAGATTTATATTCTCGGTTTAATTCCAGAAACATTGGCCCTGAGAACTGATGAAAGTAAGTCAGTAAAACTTTGTGTAAAACAGAAAAGTGTAATTTTTCATAAAATATTGGATTCATTTCTTACATTTTTGAAATCAAGACCTACATTATTAAACTCTGACATTTACCAATTGAGACAAACCCCCTTTTCTTTTGTTTCTTTTTTCTTCAAGATATGTTTCTTTAAGGCACATAGGTATTTTTATATCATTAATTTATTAGTTCTTGGATTGGTGGGAGGGGGGAAGATGGTTCGAGGGGACTAAAATTATGTAACAACCTAATTTTGAAAAAGGGATGTATCATTTTCAAAATCAATAAAGATATGTGATACCAAAAAACACTGCACTGGACTCAAATGCTCCTTGTTTTGTGAAAAGTATTTCTAGTCTCCGTAGACCACAGTGTGTTTCTCTTTGACTTATGCTTTAAGGTTTATAAGTAAAAGGCTCACAAAGGCCCCGCAATATAAGCTGGAGACATTTACAACTGCAAAGTAATGAATACTGCAATATCACAAGTATTTAAAAAAACATTTTAAAAGTCTGGAATGGCATTTAAAAAGATCCTTTTTGAAAACCTGAGTTTTATGTTCTGTGCATTTAAAGCTTCACAGGACACTTAAACTCTCCACCACAATGAACAATAATGACATTCTTCATTGGCAGATTAAGAGCTCTCTGGTGTGATGACAAGAATGAGACACCACACCCAAAGAACAATATTAATAGTCATATTTTGAAAACCACAATGGATAATAAACTGCAGGTGTGTTCAGATTGATTATCCAGCTGGGATTAGCAAATACTGACATGTTGACCTGATTTTTGGCCTTGGAATTTGGCTCAACACACCTCTTTATTCTGATCAGACCTATACACGATGGCAACACATTTCCTCTGAGGACATTTATTTTTTTCAAATGTCTTGCATTATTTATCTCTGAGGAGTGACACGGTACACACCCACAGGATTTACAACACTGTTGCCAAACTGAGGAATTAAAGATGTGACACCGATCGATCTTTTTATTTCTTGGGTGAGCAAGTTCACAAGATGTGTTTATCGTTCGCATGACTTTTTAAATTAACAATGGATCACTCGACTCATCGTATGTGAAAAAGGTAAACGAGAATTATCAGCTGAGCTCTGTGGAGTGTTTTAGTGCCTTTCAGCTCATTGTTTTGGTTCACTGCATTTCCAGCTGTTTTGGGTGAAAAAGCTCTAAAAACCAACTCTGCACAACCTGCTCAACACCAAACAGGAAACAGACAAAATAAGTGACTAACTGGTGAAGAAAGTGGAGCTTTTAGGAGCCAGATTAGTTCATGGAGACCAAACCAGAGCAAAAGGGAAAGTGAATAGTGGACTCTTTAGTCCTCAGATGCACTTGTGTTGCTCCATAGCTACTCTAAGTTTTCAAGTCACACTATTAAAAGGATTAGTTGTTTTTTTTCAAGTGTATCTTAATACAATATGTCATATGTGCATTGAAAAGTTTTGGGGCTCTTGTGAAGCGTTACCTTGCACACACAATCACATTATAAAATAAGTCCTCATTTTGTACGAATCTGACTTCTAAAACTCATCATAAGTTAACTTGAGGCTTCAGCGGTCTGACCCCTGAGAAGATACCCTCTTGCATTGTCTGACTGAGACTGGAAGGGATATTTTCACAGCCAGTACTGACAGGAGGAGTAAGAAAATGTAGCCTCTCACCAAACACTGTCAGGGGATTCTTTCTGTCTGACTCCGTAGTCTGCGTGGTACACGTCAATGATCAGATTGCTGTTGTTGTCGTGGGCTGACTCGTAGTTGGTGACCACGCGGCAGGGGATGCCCAGCAGGCGCATCACTGCAGGCAAACACAAAGTTATTCAGTTAAGTTCATTTGAGTGTGTCGATATCTCACCGTTCTGTCCAATTGGATCAGGAACAATTCATATGAACTTCACACACTACACTACAGTAGTTTGTTTAACCTGATTGAGACATTTGCCTTGGTGTAAATCAGTTTGTCTTTGTTTTTCTGCATCTTGTTCTCCTCTTTGCTAAGCTGCTATATGTTGCAGAAATAATGACTCTCATCCCAAGAGAAAAGGTTTTAATTTGCTGACACAGACTGATTTAAATACAAGCCACATGCAGGTTTGCACATACATCTGACTTTGTAGCAATATAGCTTTTTACTGTAAATATCATATGCATAAACTGAAGCTGCCTCAATAGACTCCTTTGTTGAACCACAGGGAACACTTTGTTCCACCGCTTTTGACGGAAACTAGTGTTGGCAGAGACACACGGGTGGTGGCTGTTATTAATAGACTTAAGCTACTGCAGAAATCGTTCAACAGAGTCAAGGGATCAAAGCCAAACTGATGAGTCAGAGGATATGTTTTAATTAGATGTGTCAGATTTTAGTGATAGGGCAAAAGGTTGTGGAACGGAAGGGAATATACGTAGGATATTAGTGTGAGTCTTAAAGTATTAAAGTTCTAAGACAGCTGCAACTAAAGATAAATGCCATTACAATTCAAATATCAGTTTTTTTATTAACTGGTCATTTGTTTAGTTTATAAAATGTTAGATATAAGAAGAAGATTAACTTTATTAATCCCTAATGGGAGATTAAAAGGGAGAAATTAGATATAAACTGTCCACTGAAAGTCCCCATTTCCAAATGTGACTTAAAATTAAAATGACTGGTGTTACCACAAACAATTGCTAAACCAAATGTATTTAATTTACAATCATATAAAACTGAAAAGTGGCAAATAATATTTGAGAAGCTGGTCAAGGTCTTAAACACTGTAACACCCAGGTCTGCAGCCTAGTGTTTTGAGTATAATCTAATGATAGATACAACATTCATGATAAGTTTCATAGTAGTGTAGAGTGAAGCTTTAATATCCCAGAGTGACAATTTGACTTATTTACTTATTTTTAATTATAAATAACCAAAAGAAGAGTAATAAATACTAAAAGATGTACCACAGCTTGTTAAAGGCCAAATTACATTTAATGTAAACCCCAGTTTTAATGGAATTAAAGACTTCATCTATCTGTTACTGCCTCCTCCTGACTGATCGATAGCAGTCTGTGCATCCAGCTTGTGGAACAGTGCGTGGTTAATAGGTTAATAAATGGCTCAATTAAACAATTAATCAACTATAAAAAATTTTGTCTGTCAAGTTTGTGATTATTGACCCATAATATCTTTACAATGCTGCTGTACCTGAACACATCACACCGGCGAACACCCAGCACTGCCCGTACTTGACCGGCTGGCAGCCGGTTTGGAACCACTGCTTAAGGATGGCGTGACTGCCATTCCAGTGAGAGGGTACGACCCCACCCCAGTATGGACTTCCCCATCGTCCCGCCACGACACCATAGTCATCTTCACTGTTGATCTGGAAGAAAACAGACAAACAAGGAAATTCTCAATCTCATAATGTTAAAATAGAAAATTACGACTACGATTACAACAGATTTGGAATTTTCCCTCCAAAGATTTTTTTTTTTGATTTTGAAAACTACATCATCTACATCAGCTTTCTTCTTCAACACCACTTTATTGGCACATTGCGAACATTTACAAAACACTACCACCACCAACTTACAACAATATGTATTGTAGATAGATAGATAGATAGATAGATAGATAGATAGATAGATAGATAGATAGATAGATAGATAGATAGATAGATAGATAGATAGATAGATAGATAGATAGATAGATTGTGTCCTACCATGGCGCTGACCACGCGGCTGACGTAGATGGGGTTACAGCGAGCAGAAGTATCATCAGCTGGGTTCTTAAAGTGTTTGGGGTTGAGGTCCAATATCCTCATACAAATGTCCACCATTCTGTCTTCAAACTGTACAGAAGGAGACAGGAAAGGTTTCTCTTAAACTGTTTTTTATTCATGGCAGTACGGTGTTGTTTAACTGCAGATGGGGATAGTTTTTAACCTTTAAAAGAGACATTGTTTGCTCTTGGCAGTATATTTGAGCTGCAGCTGTATTCATACATGGAACTCCAAGTCCCAGACGATAGTAAATTAAATCTCTATTGAAGCAAATAATGGCAATTAAGTTTTTAATTTTAAACTAAATTATTCATTTAAAGCAACTGAATATTTAATTGTAATTTCACCATGACTAAATACTTAAAGGACCAGTGTGTAGGATATAGTGGCATCTAGTGGTGAAGGTGCAGAATGCAACGAACTGAACACCACTCGCATCTGTATTTGACGACCTGGGAATGAGAACGGGCTGTAAAGTGTGTAGGAGGAACTATGGTGGCTGCAAAAACACATGAAAGACCAGTGTTTGGTTTGTCTGCTCTGGGCTACTGTAGAAACATGGTGGTTCAACACGATGTCTATGGCTAAAAAAACTGATTATACGCGAATGAAAACATACCCATGGATATTATATTCTAGATCCATAGAAAGTTTAATCTGAATTGCGCTCTTTGACGTACATGTGAAATTTGTATTTCCAGTACACACACACACACACACACACACACACACACACACACACACACACACACATATATATATATATATATAATATTCGTTATGGCCATTATTCACTTCCATAAAACTCCTGATTGAAGTGTCAGTGTGTTGTGATTAGGAGAGTCCTTCTGTTTAAAGTGATGAAAGTAACAAATGTGACTGAAGGTGTGACTGTATGAAGAGGTATGATAATAGTTTATTTTGTGATGCCAGTACGATAATCGCCTCTGGCCATGAAATTATTTAAACTGTGCTGACTGTATATCAGATTGTGTGTGTGTGTGTGTGTGTGTGTGTGTGTGTGAGTACCTGTCCAAAGTCCCAGTTCATAGAGGAGATGTAGTTTCCACTTCCTTTGTATATGATTCCTTGTTCATTCATCACATATTCCTGTCTCTGCTCCTCATCAGACAGAAACACCCAGTCATCTACAGAGAGAGTGAATTAATGCAGACAGACAGACAGACAGACAGACAGACGACGGACAGACATGTGGAGTCCTGCATCTAAAATCTTTTTCGGCCCAGTATGTAACATTTATGAGGATCGATAGGCAGAAATAGAGTATAATATTAATCTGTGTTATATATAAATAAGAACTGATGTGTCGTTAAAGAGCGGGTCCTCTTCTACGGAGTCCGCCATGTTGAGCTGCCATGTTTCTACCCCAGAACAACAAACCAAACACTAACTCTATATAGGGCCTGCACGATAATCATTGGGTATAAATTATTGGTCGATAATGGGAAATGTATATTAATACCGGTATGTATTATTTTAATTGGGGCCGATAAATTATTTAATCTTGCAAAACGTTTGATAGGCTCTATGTTCGATGAAAGTCAAAGTTGAAGAATCAGAGCTGTTTTTGTTATTTTAAGAATGTGATATAGTTAGATTTGATTGGATCAGAGTTATGGAATATTAAATCATCCATCTTTATCGGTATCAGCCATGAGAAGCGGGGAATTATCAGTTGTCGTACTGGATGAAACTAAATCCATATCGTCCATCCTGAGCTTTTGAGTTTTGCTGCCACTATAGTTTCTCCTGAACGCTTAGAAAGGGATGGTGAGGCGAAGGGGTTGTAATCTACAACTACACCAATGGACACCACAAAGTCCTACACACTGGCCCTTTAAGTAAAAATAAATAATCATTATCGGCTGAATGTATCAAAAGGTAAAGACACAGACAGATAATCAACTTACCGGGGCACCAGGGGTTGAAGAGCACCACCAGCTTCGTCAGCAACAATTCCTCATTCTTGTGTGCCGCAGTCAGGAGGTACTCCCCTACTGGGGTGGCAGCTGGGGGTGTAATGGTCAGGTTCACAATACCCAGTAGGAGGGAGGAGCTACTGTGAAGCTCTGCCTTCCACACCGCCTTTGCTTTTGGTGAATGCTTCACGGTATTAGAGACACTGAAGAGTGACATCGTCCCCAGGTCCTCGGATGGATGTTTTCCTGTAGAGAGGAGTCACTGAGGGAGTCAGACACTCATTTATGGTTGTAACAATACTCTATATACACTGGCTGAACCATCCAGGTAAAGCAAATCCCATGAAAATTTCAAGAATCAAGAATACTTTGAGGACTCAAAGATCTGTTCTCAAGCACATTAACTATACAGAGTGAACTGGTCTTGTACCTGATAAAACACACTGTTGATATGCACACATTATTATTCTTACTTATAATAAAGTCTACTATAATGGGTATTAACCAGATAGGTTCAAAGCCAACACTGAAGTAACCAAAACTGCAGTTCCTTGAATATTGTTGTCCAAAAAAATTGTTGTTTAAAACAAATCATTTAACGAAAGACCAACCTGTCACTGCAGAGATTAAGAGTGGGTGAAGCTCAGGGTTGAAAGGTTGCGTCAGTTTAAGAGTCAGGTTGAAGGGCTGACCTCTCCTCACAATCAGCTGATCCTCTGTGATTTCATTGGTGCGGTGTTCAGTGTTATTGGTCTTACAGTGGAGGTCCACGCCCTTATAGACTGAGAGAAATGGAAATATTATTAGGATATCTGGAAATCACAAAAGTCACAAAGAGAGATACGAAGCTTTGGAAAGGTCTTATTCTTAAATTAAACAGATGTATTAGTAATATTTAACTACATTACTTTCCAGTTTTCATACAGAGAAAATCTCCAAGTAAAAAAAAGGCAAAGTCTCATTCACCTATGACATAAAGAAAGATAGTGGCCATCATTTAATTAGTTTGCATTGATAAATCAAATATAAGATCCCCTCCAGACATTTATTAAGACATACAAACAATAATGTGTGTCTGATATGTTTTTTCTGCAACAAATTTAAATCCTTAAAATGGCCTCCACTGCTTCTTTTACGTCATTAGAAATTCCTGAATATATGAAATATGCAAATTTTGTTAATTTCTAAAGTTTTCCTGCTGGACACAAGATGCCTCCGCTGTAAAGTCTATTCTCAGTGTCTGTTCAGGTTTCTACATCACACTTGTACAAGTTGCATACTGGACCAGGACTGACTTATAAAGTATTTGTGATGTTACAAATCATGCTTATAGGCCCCGCCACTTCAAAACAGATGTTCAATGAGCTCAGACTTTTGTACAAAGTAAACATCAAATATGGATCATGCAATTTTTATGGCGCTCACAAAGAACTGTAAAAAGAAAAAAAAATCGTACTAGTTACGGCGGAGTCTTTATTATAAGATTGTTATACATTAAAACCTTTTATTACATTATAGCCCGTTACACATGTGATTACACTATGAGTTTAAACTACAGTATACACAGGACTGTGTTTTTTGCATGGCTGAACTTTATAAAGCATCAAAACTAGGCTTACTGGATACATTCAAATCAAAATAACTTTATTTATCAGTTAGGAACTTTACTTGTGTAAAGGCATCAGTGCATACACAACACATATCCAGACAGACAACAAACAAAGAGTAAACAACATTATTTATATACCTATTTAAAATACTGGTTTTATAATGTTTATAATAATGTTTTTGTATTTAATAATTTCATATAATATACTAGGGTTAAGTGTGCCTAAGAATGTCCATAATAAATAATACATTGGGTCAAGTTCATTATGCATTATGTTATAATTACATAATGAGAGGGGCTTCAGTTCAGGCCTCCCAGTGCTGCAGGAGCTCGTGGAGCTCAGCTGAAGGTGTGAAGATACCCCTATTCAACCCAGCAAACTGGCTCAGCACGTTAAAGGTTACTGTGCAGTCGACAGAAACTAGGCTAGGGTGGAGAGTAGGTGACAGGTACAAATATGTAAACACACTCATCGAATTACGTGGTGAATAAGTATGTGTGTGTGAATAGGGCAAGACACGACAGGACGTAATGAGAACAGGAGGATTTTAAACCTTAACGCTGCACTCATCAACAGTTTATACTGACAGATAGTTATCACCAGACAGTCGCCGTCAGCTCTACGGCCACCTGCCACTCATCGTTTTGGTTTTCCAGTCTACAAATGTCCTGTTTCCAGCAGCAGAAAGCAGCTGTACAAGCTTTGCCCACTGTCCACTACCTGCTGAGCACCAAACCGCAGACAGATACACTTAGATAAGATTTACTGTAGCAGCTAAAGAGCCAGATATTTCCCCTCTGGCAGTGTGTGTGTGTGTGTGTGTGTGTGTGTGTGTGTGATGTGTGTGGTCTGTTTCTAAATGCAAATACATTTTTTTTTTTTTAAAACTAGAAAGGTGACTAGGAACATGTGATCCAACAGCATATTGAATTGTATCAATATGTATCATGCCCCAAAATTTCTACTATGCTCAAAACATACACAAACAAACGCATTACATTTCATTAATTCATTCATTCATTCATATACACTCAGTCTCACTGGATGCAGAGACCCACACAGGACAACATACGATGATAAAGTTACCTAAAATCTTCTTTCTGTTAAAAAATGCTGGTACTTACTAGATTCTTTAACTTCTGTCATCTTTCCAGAACTTTCTTTCTTACAACAGCAGATGGAAGGACAGCTGTCTGGCAGGCAGTCAACAGCACACTGACAGAAGACTCCCTGATTGATTTTAATAGATCTGCCAAGCCCAACCCAGTCTTACACACCTCCCGTAATCGTGTTTAACCATTTCCTGGGAGTGTAAATGCGGCTGTAATCAGACTACTGTCGTCTTTCCACAGCATTTACTGTCTTTAGGTTGTTACAAATGTCTATTATTATGATTGCATTTTAGACTGGCCGCTGTATGCTACTTATCCAAGGTACTGTGGCATGTAAACATCTGATCCAGGTCAGTGTGCGTCGTGTGTGCAGGGCCTTCCTTTACTCAAATATGTTAGCAGTTATAGGTAAATATAAATGTTTTGGGGGATAAACATTACTATAATGAGCATCTACACCCTGAAATGAAAGCCAGACACGTTAATCCAGAGGATAAACTGCATTGTTGCTCGTGTTGTATTCAGCTGATGGAGTGAAGGAGGCGAATCCAGCCAAAGTGAAAAAATTAACTAAACTGGTTCATCCTGAACTGTTGAGGAAACTCACTCTTGTCTCAGAAATGACAGGGCGCGTCTGAGATGACAAAAAAAAAAAATCAAAGACAAGTGTGTCTATTAGATGTAAAGCAAACTCAATCTGGACAAATAAAACATTATTTCATCCCTAAATGTATTTGACTTTTATGGCAGACGCTCGTTTTAAAGGTTGTTTTCCAGCTTCCTCTTCTTGTACATAAGAATGACATGTACAGTATTTTATCTCTTATTTTAAAGGGCATAAGGCCTTTGTGACTTTTCAACAGATTTATTCAGCTTCCCTGAATCTGTGGAACGTGTTAATAAATTTATCTTAAGTTTGAATCAAATTGTAATTTTTCCAAGTAAAATCTCTGGGCATCTTTTTTCTTCCCATTTTTGGTGGATGTAGCAATCACCAAATTATATAATAATTATAAACCTTTTTAGTATTTTTATTATTTATAGTATAGTAACTATAAATATGTTAAATCTGAGACTGTTTTGTTCATAGTTTTCTAATAACTATAGCAACTTCTGACCCAACCCATATTAATTTCCATCTCCTCCCACCCATTTCTGAGTATACAGACACACATCATTTAGTTTGTTGGAGACATACAGTTACAAATAATGGCACACCTGCTCATCCCTAATTTTTATGTAGGGAGTAAAAGTAAAAGGTTGTCAGAAAAATACTTGAGTAAAGTGCAGATACCTGAAAAAACAAACAAAGTATTTGTACTTTGTTACTTCCTGTCATCATAGACATTCATCAGATTGGGCAGAAAAAGTTGCCTTTTCATGTTGGTGACCTCATTATGTGACGTTTTAAAAACAATAAACAGTAGTCTGTTTCTTATTACCTCAGTGATTTGGGGTTAGATCGCTTCCAGCTTGAATTACGCATGATGTGATGTGATGTAATGTTAGAGACTGATGGGAAACTTTGATCATCACTGAATCATTTTAAACTGACAGTTACATGAATGGGTTGTATAGGTGTGTGTTTGGGATGATGGATAGGGAGGGGCTGTTTCACTGAGTGTGACTCAGGTAAGAAGTTTCTGGATTAGTTGATGTAATTGCAGACAAATTGACTTTATAACGACGATGATAATGATGACATATATAATCGTGTAGGCCTCTGAAAGGGTTCTTACATTCCTGGACTTATAATGATATGATGATATTACATTTGCATGGAGTGTAATGTGAACTGCACTATAATCAAGGCCAGAATAAATATACATTAGTTGTTCTGATCTGAGTTGGGTTCTGTGTTATTTATTAGCTATTATTCGACTGTGAACAGGAATCCAATCCAGTTTGTCATATTGTCCTGAAAAATGAAATGTCCTGGCTTCTATTAAACCATCCGTTTTGTTGTTGTGTCCATTACATAAGCGAGAATAAATGAGAAGAACACAGCTTTTCCTATGTGTATGTATAAATAAATAAAGCCAGGCTTGGAGTTTTGACTTATTGTCATTATTCACTCATTAAACATAATTAAAATGGTTTTACCCTGCAGGCTCGAGCAGAACATCAAGAAAAGTGGCCATGTAAGGTGCCACATTTTAAAGATCTCTGTGGTTTTCTAACATGCTGCAGAGACACAACACACTAATGTTTCTTGATCTTCAATTCAAATTCTCCCCAAAAAACACGACAAGCTGTAGTTTTCTTTTTACACATCATTTTATTGCTGTATCATTCAGTTCGCCTCTCAATTCTAATTCTAATTATTTATAATAATCTATTCAAAATAGATTCTGTATATAATGTCTGTTGTATATAAGTGTGTAGGATTCAGTGGCATCTACCAGCGAACCTGCAGACAGCAACCTTACTCAGCTTTCTAAGCGTGGAGGAGAAACTACAGTGGCTGTGTATGTTGCCTGTAGATAAAAACAGCTTATTCTAAGGTAACAAAACATTCTTATTTTCAGGTGATTAAACACTAATAAAAATATATATAAAAACAGATCCTGCAATATGTTACACACTGGATCTTTGAGGTTGAATTCCTTCCAGTTAATAACGAAAGGTCGCCAGCAAATAGACCATCGAGGTACCACTGATGCCGTAGTTTGTGGTTTTGGATTGCATTACATTCAGAGGAATTTCAGAAATGCTGCCAAAGGTTCATGTTATAATCTATTTGTGCTGCTCTGTGGCTGCAAACATCGCAGTTCTCTTTACACACTTGTGTTCTGCAGTGTGAATCAATGTTGTCTCTAGTCTATGTCTCAGGTCTGTATTTCAAACTCATGAAATAAACCACACTTGATGTTGTCACATGTAGCTCCAAGTTGTCTTTAGGATTGTGATTCTTATGCACCAATGTACAATGTGGCAAATTCCTCTTATGTGAAGACTTAATTCTGATTCACAGTAAAGTCAGCCAACAGTGTATACCATAAATGCAGTATAAAATTCAAAGGTATGTCTTCATTAGTGTATAATGACCTGCAAATAAGACTCATTATGTTTTGTTTTTATCTACTGACGCTTTCTATTTCTACAGTAGCCCAGAACGGACAAACGCTGTCTCCGGATGGGGATGTTTGTGTTTTTTGCACATGTTGCGGCCACAGTAGTAGAAAGGGAGGGAGCTTCAATATGTACCTACTCAGCTAGATGCCACTAAATCCTCCACACTGGGCCTTCAATATTTGCCAACCTGAACTTCTCTATGTGCGAAACCTTCAGGCGGTACATAGAAAGCTGCAAAACCACATCGTCTCACTCTTAACCTTGAAGGCTCATCCATTAAAGGCTATTAAAGAGATGTGCTTGTTATTTTAATTAACCCAGTCGGTAAACTGTCACAAAACTGGTCCTGGAGCATGTTGTGTGTGTGTGTGTGTGTTTGGCAAACAGTCAGATGCAGATTAGACTGTGTAGACGAGGTTATTGACCTGCGAGGGTATTCAGAGTTACATAATGAAGCTTCTTTCCACAGCAGAGGTCATGTAAGGACACGAGTCGCTCCCTTTTATTCTTACATGTTGTACATGCGTGTCCTTGTAAACACGAACAATGCACTCAATCTGTCACACACCACTCTAGGCATTCATTTCACACACTGGCACATAAAACCACACTCTCACACACAAACACACACACTAGCTGTCCTGCTGTATAAGGTCTTTGGCTTTTTGCAGGTTGTGATCGACGGCTCCCTCTAAGAACTGAACCCAGGTCAGCTGGGACTCCCCGCACACATGACTGGACCTGTGCAGGGAGGAAAGGAGTGGAGTGTGTAAAAAAGATACACAAAGACAATAAAAAGAATATTGTACTTGCTGAAACTATTTCTGACGATCACCCGCTCCCCTTCAGCCACAGAGGGGAAACTGTTTTGACAGATGGTTGGAAGTGAAGTGAGTTTTGTTTTGTTTTTCCTCTGATCTGATAAGATCTGCTGATAAGATGACTCAAACTTTCTCTCTAAAACACCCAACATCTTTTCTCTGGCCGTTCCCACAGTCACTGATTGTTTCTTCATCGATCCACTTTAACTTTACTTCAGCACTGGGACTTGAAAGTACTACCCCAGTGGGTCTTTTGCAATGTGTTGCCCATTATGTACAAACTGACTTTCTGAAGAAAACCTTGATTTAAAAGAAGGAATGAACGCAGTGGGGGAATCTTACCTGATGATCTCCAGAACCTTCCTTAACAGTGAGGCCAATTTAGACACCTGTAGGGGGAAAAAAAACCCTGGATTCATATGTTTATTTTCATTTATTATTTATTTACACGCTTTTTCAAAAAGTATTTATACATTTATGTTTGGAAGAATTATATTTACGATGACAAAAACACTTATACTCTTTAAATTTGCACATTAGACCAGTTTGTGGTGAAACTGCCCGTCTGTGCAACTGGATTACTCACAGGAGCATCTGGCACAGTCACCTTCGTGATTTTACTGAAGCAACACAACCAGCTGAGACTTGACGTGTTCTAACTGCAACAGACTTTTGGCTTTCTCTCAGTAAAACTCAGTAAAACGGTGTCGTCATCTGTTTGATGTTTGATGATGACACAGAGGACACAGAGGGCCTCTGTTGATCTGACTCGACAGATCTAAAAAGACGTTTTGAAGACCCACCACAGATGTAGCGGTGTAACTGTGGACGGTCTTCATTGGAACTACTTTCTAGAGAAGAAATAGTCCCTATAAAAATGACTGACCGTGTATTTTGTGGATGATCCTGAAAAATGCTGCAGTTTAATATTTTACATCATTTTTCGAGCAAATTAAATTCCATTCATCTCAAATATACCAAAAGTAGTGTCAAGATACCATTAGAGAAGAGTTTTTTTTTTTTTTTTATTTAATAAAAAAAAAAAATTTTTTTTTTTTTTTTTATTTTTTTTTTTTTAAAAAAAAAAAAAAAAAAAAAAAATTTTTTTAAAAAAGAGAAAATTTTTTTTTTTTTTTTTTTTTTTAATTTTTTTTTTTTTTTTTTTTTATTTTTTTTTTTTTTTTTTTTTTTTTTTTTTTTTTTTAAAAAAAAAATTTTAAAAAATTTTTTTGGGGGGTTTTGTGCGTTCTTAAATTTAAAAAAAAAAAAAAAAAAAAAAAAAGGGAGAGAAAGGAAAAAGAGTAAATCCTCACATTTGAGACATTATAAGTAGAAATTCAGTTTATTTATGTAATTAAAAATTTTTTTTTTTGGGGTTTTTTAAAAAAAAAAAAAAACAAAATTGGGAGGCGTTACCTTGACGACATGCTGAGTTTAAGACCCACATCTAACGTACCAGCGCCACAAACCCTTCATCTACCCAGAGGAGTTACAGCTAACACACACACACACACACACACACTAACATTATCAAAGAGTCTATTTTACTTAACACGCACTAAATGATCATGTTTAATATTTACAGTTTGGTCATTTGATGAAGAGGAGCAACAGTTTTTAATGACTTTTTATTTACTTTTTTTATTGAATCAAATTAAATTATTACATGACTAGTATTTGGGCGGTTATGTCCTTGCAGACCGTTGTTGTTGATGAGGCATTCAAACACGTTATTGTGCTCCACCGTTTTATGAACTATTTCCTCACATGGGACGATAAAGGTCTCGACTGAGGTGCTGGAAATGTTTCTGTGTAAGTATGACTCCTCTGTAAACCTGTTACTGAACATGCAAACACATTTTTACGCAACAGCAGGAAACACAGGTCTGAGAAAAGCATGACATTCAAATGACCTGACTGACCGGTAATCTGAGTAACCTGTACAACGAATCTGGCCAATACAAGATCAAGTAACTAACTAATGAAGGGGAAATATTCCAGGTTACTTGATTTGTAGGGACTTGTTTTATTAAGAGGTGGAAACTTTCTTTTAACCTCTGAACTTCTGACTATGTTTCATTAGTGATGACGCATGTGTGTGTGTGTGTGTGTGTGTGTGTGTGTGTGTGTGTGTGTGTGTGTGTGCCCTTACGTTGGTCTCCACTCCGCTGTAGTCCATGGGCGGGTACAGACAGAGAGCCAGATCATCGACACTGAGCAGAAAAGACAGCAAGAGGCAGAGATTTGTCTTCATGCATGTGTTCATTTTGAAAACTCGCTGTAAAAATCTATATTTCATTTTCAGCAAACAAAGTTAACAAAGAGGGGTGGAATGGTGGAGTTTGTGTTACAGATTAAACAGGAAAAACCTGGTTTTATGAATTCATAAAAGCATGCACTGTGTCATTTTAACTGCTGTTGTGCAGACAAAGAAAAACATGTTTTTCATGCCTTAAAGTCTCAAGTTACAGATAACGTCGTAAAAAAAGGACCTTCCTGCAATTAACTTGTTACCGCTGTGCAGAAAAAAAGTAATTTAGTGCATCGTGACTTGGTTGGTTATCTAATTTACAAACTGAAGTTTACATAATCTGATAAACAGACACCCATAAAACCAAGAACATAACCCTTATATTCTGATAATTACGGTAATTTAAGGCTGAGATTTTGTGCAGTTTACTTCTTTTTAGTGTTAAAGTATTATGATAATATGACCGTGTGTGTGTGTGTGTGTGTGTGTGTGTGTGTGTGTGTGTGTGTGTGTGTGTGTGTGTGTGTACGCACCCAGGGCTGATTTCCTTGGTGATGTCAGCCAGGTCGTCGAGCTGAGCCAGGCTCTGAGCTGTGGTAACGTCACCGTTGGCTTTGACGGCCGACATCAGCTTCCTCAGGCACGCTGCAGAGGCTTTCATCAGACCCTGGCACGGACCGATTATGCACCGGTCTTTCTCCGACCAATAAGTGTCCTGGTTGCCCCGAGGCTCCTCCCCTTCCTGGTCATCGTCGAGGACGTCACTGAACGGGTCGTGGGCCTCGGATAACGCCTGCAAAATTCAGTGTATTAAAGCAAGAGCTGTATTTTTGTGAAGATTAATGATTGGGCTGCAGCTAATAATCAATGTTATTATGGAGTCAACAAATCCCATAAAAAGATCAATACCAATGAACCAACTCATCACCAGCCTCATCCTTTAACCTGTATTGGTGAGAAACTTAGAGCAGTGTGAGATGAATAGGTTTTCCTACTGATTATCTTAAATTATAAAAGACAACAGGTGCCATGGAAACAGGGACATATTCTGGGAATACCACCTTGTGTCAAATAAAAGCCTGCTTCTATTTGCAGTGGAAATAAACACAGGCCCCAGCCACTATCTGAGAACTCACAGTGTGTGTGTGTGTGTGTGTACCTGTTCAATTTCCTCTATGGCATCTTTCACAACTCCAATCTGAGCAGACAGAACCACCAGCACGGCTCCCTTATTATCTGTGGAACAGACACGTTTCCCATCAATGAAACAAAAGGAACTGAAATCTTAAGACAAAACAAGAGAAATAATCTAGAAAAGAAAAATATACTGAAACTCTTTTATATTCAAATCCTCCCTTAAAGGAGCTACAGTCCCACCTTTATCTCATAATGTACAGAGAAATCTGATTTAATTATCTTACTGAATGAACAGATAACTGATCGACTGATTGATAAATCAGATACAGCTGTGGTAATGTCAGCCCCTAGATACACGACTGACCCCTCACATAGCCTCATTGATGTGTGCAGTTATATTATTATAATAAGGAAAGAAAGGATTTTACAGGATTGGGATTATACATTCATTATATCTGTATTATTTTTACAATTAAACAATTGTTTTAAAAGTCTTTAACATGTCAGTACATTCAATTTAAAATGATAGAACAGATAAAAAGCAGCAAACTTTTACATTTGAGTAGCTAGAACAAGCTAATGTTTGGATATTTACTCAATAACTGACTTAAATAATGAATTTTCTGTTGATTGATTATTGATTAATCAACTGCTTGGCCACAGGAACTGCAGCTTCAGTGACTGAGGATTCATTTTAACTTTGTTCCTCCATACAGAGCTATTGACAGCTCACTCAAACTCCATCGTTTCAAGGTCATATAACGGTATACGACCGTTATCTAGTTGTGATTTGCTGTTAGATATTTAACATAAATAACGGTAAAAGTCTGTTTAGATTCAGCCGTTCACCATAAACTCCCACATGTTTCATGTTAAATGCTATGATGCTTCGTCACAGAGGATGAGGACAATCTTTGGATCAGCTGTGTGTTAAGTGCTATATAAACAGCGTTGAGTTGAGTTTAAGTTCAAGCCATAAATATGTCGACATGTAGATCTGTCAGAAGCGCCGTGTCAGACCACAGATACACAGATACAACAGATCGTATGATAAGCATATGTTAGAACACATTTGGCTGTGGAATGAAGCCAATGTTGCACAATCAGTCCTGCATACTGTAGCTGTCTCCGTTTGTCCTGAAGCAAAACTGAGTGAAATGATCAGTATCGCTGGAAATGAAACCCTAATGTGGTTCTTTCTAACTCTATATTTTAGAATCTATTTTAATTGTTTAGAAAGCCTTACGCAGCTCAGTAGCTTCCTGTTAATTTCATTTAAGAACACTGTACACCCTTTCTTTCAGATGTTCCTGAGGTTTCCCACAGCACATCTGCTGTCTGCTTTTTGTTTTCATGCTATTTGTTTTATTAAAATACGTGTATGTATTTATATCTATTTATATCATATTTCCTATTTATTTTATTGTTGTTTTAAATAAAAATACTGTTATCATAAATAAAAATAAAAAAGTACTAACAATACACACACACACACACACACACACACACACACACACACACACACACACACACACACACACACAGAAACCCTGCTCAGTGCACATAAAACACTTACACATACATAAATATGGCTTTTACTGATCCCCAAGGTGGAGAGCAGCAGACAGATTCACAGGTTCCTTATTAAATGTGGATAATCTGACTGCTGATTTCCATAAAATAAAGTGTAAAGAAACTCTGGTACCAAAAACAGAAATGTGTAGTCAGACTTTGTGTATAATAGCACCACCTGCAGGCTGCCATTGATCCAACATATTACTGCTAGTGCCACTGTATCTTTAAAATACAAGAAATGAGTGAACCTGACTCCACTAACAAATCCATCTATCAATTCTGTGTCTTTACACTTTTATTTTTTATTCTCTAAAGTCTGCTGACCTTGTGGCAACTGGGCAAACTGGTCGCAGGCCGACCACACACTTCCTGTTGAGGTCAGCTGTTCCTGGGACAGACTACAGGTGAGCAGAAGAAGAGGATGAGGAAGAGGTGGAGGAAGTCGTAGAAGAAGTCAGATAAAAAGAAAGCAGAGAGAGACAGAGGGAAGAGAATATTCTTTACAACCGGCTGTTTGATGCTAAAACACAAATTCAAAAGTCCTTCTGCACTAAAAATAATGTGAACCACGTTTTAAAGTTTACTGTAGCCACAGAGTCTGTTAATAATAGTACTTTTATTCAGTTGATTTAATGTTTATATTTTCTTGATTAATATCTGAATTAAAGTAGATTTAATGTGGCTTTTTGGACACTGATGAACTGAAAACAATCCTTTACGACAGATCTCTACAAAATGATCTAAATTCATGACAAATGTAAAATACAAAATACATGTTTCCTTAAGTATTAACACTTCTAAAGCCAATGGATGTGATGATTTAGGTGTGTCCTCTTTAAAAGGGGGCTTCATATACTGCAAACATGTATTTTGAATTTGTAGTTGAATAGTTTTCTGCTGACGTGTTTCAAAAAAGTCACAAAATAAATCTTCAAGAAAACAAACAAACGTGAAAACTTTCTTGGCTGGAGGTTGTTTATTCTTTATAGACATGGTATGACGATCGAACACTGACACTGTGACTGTGTGTGTGTGTGTGTGTGTGTGTGTGTACCTCTGTAGCGGTGAGCTCAGTATGACCTCCACCAGCTGTGCGACTCCCTCCAGAACCTCGACCGTGGCGTCTCTGACCTGTCGGCGCAGACTGATACCTGAGACGCAGAGAGCTGAAGTCAAGATTCTGTCAGATTATTTAACAGCAGACACAACAAACTTATGACAGCATGTTGTTGTTTACTCAATATAAAGTCTAGTCTGAGTTTCCCTGCTGAGTTTTAACATCCTGGGATTGTATGATTCTACGTGTACATTTGTAGGGCTGCAGGAAATATCAGTATGCACAGAAAGAAACAGCTATCATCTACTATTACTGTTATTTCTGCAGCAGAAATAGAAAAAAAACATATTACAAAAATAATATATAAATGAGGACAATAAATGATTCTCCTGAACTGCCTGCTGGACTCAAGCACAGCCAACTGGCCGGTTCCTGGACTGTTGTGGCGGTGTTACCTTGGCTCTTAGGTAGCCAGTAATACACTGTAGACAGAGTCAGGACACTCTTCATGATGGACTCTGCTAACCTCTCTCCATCCTGCAGAGAGGAAGGAGACAGAAAACACATACAAATGTTGGGAGTTACAATAACAAGTTGATGTGACAATTCAAGAGTTTAGAATCATTTATTTAAAGACGTTGTAGCCCTAATGTGACCAGATGCACCGACGTCACCAAAATACTGTCGTGTCAAATCTGCAGTATTCTTTTGCTGCCATCTGTCGAGATAAAGCCGATGATAGAAACTGAATGAATTGATCTGGAGCCTGTAGAGCTGCTAGCAGGAAGGAGGAGGAGGAGGAGGAGGAGGAGGAGGAGGATGCACAAACTGCTCTACATTGTGAAGAACATTTCCCGCTTCCTCCACAGTCTATTTGTCAAAAAGCAATCAATACATCAATACACATAATCTACTAGACTTCCACCACCAATGAACAGCATACCAAGCATTATTGTTGTATATTATTAAAGGTATGGTTCAACTTTTGGTTCATATCTTAGTGAAAGATTATAGTTATTCGTAGTTTGTCATCTATCTATCTATCTATCTATCTATCACACTTTAACCGTGTTGCTGTTTTCAAGGTGCGGCATTATGAGCCCAACAATAATCTGACCTGTTGTGATGGAAGCGGAGGTTTAGAGAAGGCCAGGCTGAGTTTAGTGGCTTCCTGGGACACGGCCTTCACCGCCTGGTCTGAGGACAGAAAAAAAAAAAAAAAAAAAAACATGAAATCACATTAAAAAAGGTCCCACTTAACGTCTTTGAGACGATTTAGTTCCACGGTGGCTCCATGTGTTTCTGCATGGAGCAGGATGATGATAGGGTGGTACTTCATATAAAGAGGGCGCTGATTGTTACATTTAAATTGCCCTAAATGAACAACAAACAGGAGGAGGATGTCCTGATCATCTATACTCAACTCAGAGTGTCCCAGAAGTTGGAGAGGTTGAACGCTCCATCGGACTCGTTGGATTCTCCGTCTGTGGTGGAAAAGGAGGACTCGGTTAGACAAATCTTCACTCTTCCAGGTTAAATTCATGGACAATGTCACACTGAAAAAAGATGTTCATTTAATGACTGATTTTGTAATTTACTTTAAGCGTCTCCAGCTATATAGAGAATAAATAAAAACTGTTGTTTAATCAGTAGAAATGACAACTATTCTTCAAATTGCTTCACAAAATGAGAGGATTTGCTACTTTTCTGTTTTAAATAATTGTAAAATCGATTAGTTGTCAACTATTAAACTATTTTCCAGCTGTTATGATAATAAAATATTAATTTAAAGTCCTTTGTTAAGTAAAAAATGTCCAAATTGTCTGATTTATTTACTCCTGTATGACAGTAAACTGAATATCTTCGTGTTGTAGACAAAACAAGACATTTGATTAACATTTTTCACCATTTTCTGACACTGTATGGACCAAACGATTAATCGATTAACTGAGAAACAGCTACAAAGGCTCATCAATAAAGACTTTAGACAACAGTTTAGTAAACAAACCGGAAGGTAACACTGACATTTAAAACTCACAGCGGAGACACCTGAGCTCAGCGTACATTAAGAAAAATAACATTAAGCTTTATTAATAATATTAATAATAATAATAATAATAATAATAATAGTTAAGGTTAGCACAGTTAGCTTGACGTGTGCTAGCTGCGTTAGAGGCTACCTATTTAGTGCTGCGTCACATCAAAACGCGTTATATTTACCTCTGACTCGGTCTCTAACACACTGGATGGAGTTCAGGATGTTTCGTAAAGGCACAGACACATTTCCAGCACAATTATCAGCACTCATGTCACCAAAGTTTTTGTTTTTGTTTCACGTTAACTGTGTTAGATACATGCGTGTTGTGGAACCACAGGAGCGCAGGATGTGGAACCGGGGACCACTATAAAGGGAACGCCGATACTACACAGCGTTTTAGTGACACCTTGTGGTGAAAGAGAGGTACTGCAAGTAGAAACCGACAGTATGGAGTAAAAACTGAATAAGTAAATTATAAGAAATTGTTTTAAAACAACAGAAAGAAGAGAAGAGGAAGAGACCTTTACTTTGTAGGAAAATGCTGGAAAAAAAATCAGCTGTCACTTAAATTAGAAAATATTCCTCGTTGCACTTTTATTGGTCTGTAAATCACACTGAATTGGTGCATGAAATGTGCTATACAAATAAAGTTGCCTTGTCTTAAATTTGTCTAAATTTCATAATCACATGCTTCCTGGTTCCTTATTCATTAACAAATTATTTATTTGTTTGGTTTGAGCATAAAATACAACCAATTAATAATATTCCAAATTCTTAGAGCATACAAAATAATTTACTGTAATCTTTTTTGTGTGTGTTATAATGCTTTTTAGGCATAAAGTACAAGCCTGAAATATATTTTCTAAATACTTGATTACTAATAAGGTGACGTGGTGCTGTGGATAGAACACAGTCATTCCCAATTTATGCATTCGCACATTGTTTAGGGACCACACTGAGTAATATTCTAGGCAAACATAACACATTTTTTGCGATACACTGCATGGTTTTTGACCCAAACTGCAACAGGATTAGCATAAAGTGAGCATGTCTGCAAAGGTTCAGAGATCTTAAGGTCAGAGGTCAACTGATCCCTTGTCAGTTTTTGCATCTACAAAATTTTGCCTAACTTCAAAGCTTTATTTAGCCTCCTTCCCAACATGATTGCATGACGTTTTATGTTGTTTCTTTAAAATGTAGCCCACTATATCCTCTGAGAGACAGTTGAAGAGGTATGGATGATGGGGTAGCACTTTGGGTGGCCAATCAAATTTCAGGCCCACCCGTTCTGGAAACGCCCCTGTTATGGACTCAATTATGAACCATCTACTCATCTGATGGCACAATGCAACAGCAGGTTCTGTTCAATGTGCCACTCCTGTTTTACTCCACTAGGTGTCACTGCTGGGCTTTCCAACAGTGGTACTAACCTGAATCACTAACTGGATTCCAGCTCTGAGGAGGAGGGTCCTCAGAGTCTCGCCAGCCACTATCAACATGGTACGACTCACAAGAAATCCAGATGTTTTCACCAAATATGTCAGACACATTTACATGATCTCCTCTTCATGTGCATCTAGTGATATTACAGAGCAGAATAACTTATTTTTTTACATATGTTTTGGGCTTTCATTGCCTTTAACCTATAGTAAGATGAAGAGTGATAGGAAAGGTGGGAGGGAGGGAGAGAGAGAGAGAGAGAGATGACATACAGCAAAGGGCTGCAGGTTGGAGTCGAACTCATTGCTGCTGCAGTAAGGACTCAGTCTGGTTACATGGAGCTCTACCAGGTGAGCTATCAGGACTCATCAGAGTAACTTCTAATGTTAAAGTTCTCGGTTAAGAGATTTTCTTATTCACTTGCAAACCTGCAAACACTGCAGGATGTGACTTCAGAGTTTTTATTAATCCTAATAATATCAACAAGAATCCTAATGTTATAGAGTCTGATGTGACTGAGATATAATCAATCAAAATAAAATCAATCAAGTTTTAGTCCTTTACTTTAAAAAAAAACAGATTATAAAGCAAAAAAACATAAAGAAAATTCAGTCAACAAGTCAAGTCACAATGCACATTCTCTGAATTTCCCTGTGAATCATTTATAATAAATCCAGTGGTCTCCACACAAGACGTGTGTGTAATGTTCCTGGCTGAAATGTGGTGAGGTGTTAATGTGTTTTTTATGGGTTTACCAACAACCCTCATTGAAGAGAAGAGGCTGTTTGAGGATCCTGTTACATTAACGGTGGAAAAAACAAAAAAGGGGAAGCATCTCTGAAAACATGTGAGTGCTTAGCTACAGCTTCTGGTTGAGCTGCTCTCAGTGAAATCCCAGAAGTGAAGGCACTAGTTTGGCTGCTTGGTGAATAAGAAGGCTCCGGTCCCGATTCCCGTCAGGCACAAAACCAGGCTCGCAATGAAGAACCCAGCGGCAGGACTCAGACCGCTCTTCCTCTTGTTCAGCTCTGTGGATCGAACACAAACAACCACAGCTGTTTTTATCATTTTCAAGGCACATTATACATTACATTCATTTGTCCAATTTACTCTCCAGTCCATTTATCTTCCACATGAACAAGAGGGAGATAAAAAAAAATGGCAACTGAATTCCTCCCAAACAAACAACTACAATCATGCTCAATGTTACAGCACAAGTGCTTTTCCGTTAGTCAGTATGACAGCGTATTATAATTATTATTATTATTTTTAATATTCTGAAATTAAATTTGTAAATTTAAGAAGAAATTGTGTTTTGGAAATCATTTTGGATGTGTATGTTTGTCAGTATTCCCCTTTAATAATAATGTAACATGGACTTAAACATCTCTTCGTCTTACCCCAGCTACTGGTGAGAGGCCGCAGTGAGGCTTGGTGCTCCACTGAACAGGAGTAAACGTCTCCCTCCCGAGGAACGAAACTCAGTGTGGAAATTCTGTGGAACGTCCCGTCACTGTTATGGCGGTAACGTAGGTCCGATACCCCCTCGGTGACTTCCACCCCGTTCTTTGTCCATGTGAAATTGATGGTGGGAGGGTAGAAGTGGTTTGCCAAACAGAAGAGAGTGTTCACCACACCGTCCTCCCCCTCATACCGGCTGTAGATGAAGCTGTCTGGAGCAGCTGGTCAGTGAATAGAACAGAAAAGAAGTGAGGATATTTTTAGAGGGTGTTATTCCCCACATTATCCCCACATATAATATAAGAATTAACATTTAATTTCATTATAATATAAAAACAAAAGCCCTCATAAAAGCTGCTTGTGGTCATTTTTATTTTCCACAGGAACAGTTTTCATTACCCAACATCACTGCAGGGTTAGCGGATTAGATCATTTTCAACTGTTGTCTAACAGACAGATGTAAGGTTATTCATTAAAATGATGATGGTTTAGTGTATAGCCAGTTCCTGTGTCCTGTAGAAATGACCTGGTTTAAACAATGCAACCATATTGGATGATTGTGTAATTGTGTCTTGCATTCTGCGGCCTAAAAAACACTGAGAGCACTGAGAGTGACCTAAAACAATAATAGCTGGGGGCTTTAAAACCAAAACAATAAAAAGCCATTGTGAAACCTTTCACATATAGTTATTTGAACCATTCTTTTAATTAAAAACATTGATTTAAGGTTCAGTTTAGGTTTGAATTCTAGCTTAGATCATTTTATTCATCAAGTATGATCTTATGAAGGCAACACTATCATTATCATCAACTGTCAAACTGGTGAAACATTGTGTAATTACATTAAAAAGGTGTCATATGTGCCTTCATATTCATCCCCAGAAAGAAGGTTACGGATTATCTGCTTAATGAATGCACCACCAGAAGTCCAGTGCTTGCCAGGAGCACTAACGGTGGTTTGTGTGTAATGTAGGCAGGTAAGCCACCTACTGTTCAGCCCTTTGAGGCTATAAGTCACAGACAGTGAATGAGTGAGTAGCTCCTGGTTTGATCTGTCAAATGAATGTGGGCCTAAAATAAACTGTGTTTTACCTTGTCGCATGGGAGCACCAGGATCCGCTTTTTTTGCTTTTCTCAAAACACTTTGACAGTGATGAAGGCTAGTTTTGGCAATCGTATAAACCCGTTTCTTAAAGGCTGCTAGACTTTCCGGCAGGTGAGGCATCGTAGTCACCATTTCTCCTTTGTTGAAATCAGCGTACGCAACCTCGTCTTCATCAAGCACCACATCCACCCGCACCTCGGTGGACTCATAGCACCCGTAGATGTAATGGAAGTCATGGTAGGGCCCTGAAAAGCATGAGATGAAACAGCATCACAAGATGGAAGCAGTTCAAACACTCTGTAGGTTGATCTCCATACAGTGCTGACATTAATTCACAGCAACACCCTGGAAGGTAAAACATTTGGTATTTACTCTTCAGACAGCTGCAATGCTTCCAACACCTCGTCAAAGGCTGAATGTGTCAATGAGTTGTGAGGAGTTTAACCAGAGAATGATTTTCTCCTCTAAAACCTCTTAGATTGTTTAATCTGAGTAACTGACAGAGGCACAGAGATGTAAAACTCTGGTACTTCACAAGAACGATGCAAGCAAACAATGTCAGACCCTATATTTTGATTAAACTGTTTATTTTTTTTCCACAAGGGATGGCTGACGTGAAATATAAATCTGGGTTTAGACATTTTTAAAAGACCTTTCCAAAAAATTCAGACAACATCCCCTCACCATACATAACATTTCCCATTTTAACCCCCCCTAAAAGGATGTTGGTGTTCAACACACATTTTCACAAACACATAAAGCAAGTTCTCTTTTTTCTCTTTCTCTTCTTCCTTTTCTGTCTGTGATAAACCCTTCATTTATTTGTTTGTTTGTTTAAAAAAATACATATTTTAAGGCTCATCTGTGTCCAGTCTTCTCACACATGTTTGCAAAAAACTAAATTGACCCTGAGAAACAAAATAAAGCTGATTATAATCTCTTTCACTTCACAGCCCCTCACAGAAATCCATGTGAGCCCTGACAAAAGCTGCAGTCCAGTTCTTACTTGTTGCAGAAGTACAAACAGCTCCAGTGAATATGATCAGCGTGATCACAGACAGAGTCATCTCAAATCCAAAACCACCCGCTGACTGTATTCAGAGAACAAAACAACTGAAGTAGGAAACTCAAACTGCTGAGCTTTAAGCGGGCGGCCAGTCAGATACGTTTACACCACTGTTGCTGGGTAGAATATTTTATAGCTCGGAAGTCACATCCAGGAAGTTGTTGGACAAAGTCATTGCCTTAAGAGGAAGACTGAAAGAATAAGACTACCAGCCTGAAATACAAACTAAAAGGGGTAAACTTAAGAACTTCAGCCCCTAACCCCCCCTTCAGTCTATGTGTGTTCCTGTGTTCTCAAATATAAATATGTAGTTCTTGTTATTGTGAAATCGATTATCACGTCAGTTATTTATCACAGCAACTTTGTTTTGCTAAGTGTTTAAATATTTCTATAATGTTTTTTAAATTATTATTTTCATCCAGACACACTCCCTCTTCTTTTCTGATCTCACTCTGTTTCACTTCATTAGTTGAGCTCAGGGAGTTTAAGGGCCTTATTCAGAGTCTAATCATGAGGGCTGCAGCTGATTCTATATCCCAGTGTAGGTTTTGGAGACTTTTTATTTCTAAATTGAAATCAACATATGGACTCATTGAGCATCAAGGCTTCCCCTGTGAAATCAGTGCAGCCGGGTGCATCAGATCTCAGGTTTGTGAGTCACTGATGTCCTGGTAAACCTGAGGTACTCAATAATTACCACGAGCAATAGTTTTATTAGGAGTAATATTAGCATTATTAACAGTGACTGCTTTACTCTGATAACAAATGCAGAAGCTGCACGATCAGTCTTGGTAAGTAAGTTGAACATGTTCTTGCAGTACACCCAGTGACCTTTAGGGGGCAATGTGCATCTACAGTTTCTGTATCGTGTTGGATTTATTTAAAAAGATATTAATGTAGACACACACCTGGGGCTGATGACATATAGTCAAAGTCATCAAAGTATCAGTTGGATGCAGAGTACTGTTCAGAGTCATGAATGAGTTACGTCAACAGACAAAGTGTGTTTGAGGTAGAAGAAGAACGAAGGATATAAAGGTGTGGGATGATTTTCATTAAGGAGAATAAAAGCAGGCTGGTTGGTGGTCAGCTGGGCTTTTCTAAAACCATAATAGACCCTTAGTGTAGCAGAGCCTTTCCAGGGAGCCAACAGCACCCTGACTCTGACCTGAATTAGCATCATTGGTAACACCTCTGTTTATCCTTTTATAGGATGTCAAAATGGCTGCTGTGAAAAATATATTAAGATATAAGTTTTTGAGAGAGACCATCACTCATCACTCACTACTCCCTACATAACAGACACTCAATACTTTACACACATAATTCGACACTCAGCTAATATGGCAGTATTAATTAATATATGCACTGTATAATAAAAAGGCTCCCTTAGTGAACAGAAGCCTGTGTGACTTCCTGGAGTCGTGTCATCACAGTGAGGTTGACAGAAAGTTACTGCACGCAGCCACTATTTGTTAAGAAATTGCAAAAATGTATATTACCTCTGTAAAACCCCAATTTGTTGTTTTTACATATCTGTTTATCTATAGACTAAAGGTCTAGTGTGTAACATTTAGGAGGATCTGAAAGATGAAATGGAATATAATATTCATAGAAATGTTTTTGTTAGGGGCTAGCTCGGCTAACACCACTGCTGACGGGATCCTCACCTTGCAGGTTGTAGTAGTCCGTAGAAAGCCTCCTCACCTGTTGTGCCCAGTGGGTGATGAGAGTATGTAAATGTTCTCATCCAACTCTAGGCAAGAAAACCAATAAGCATTTTTTTCTCAAATGTTCCTTTAACTGTTCCTTTAACATGCATTTTTCTTTATTCATACAGATATCCAGACACAGATTGCATGTTGGAGTAATGTGGTCAAAGTGTCCTCACTGTGAAGGTCTAGCAAAGTGGTCCTCACAAAGATAGAAGTACAAGAGAGCACACACACACACACACACACACACACACACACAACACACACACAAATCAACCAGTCTAGACTGTAGTGAACAAAACTAATGAATGTATTTCATATTGTCAAGCTGCAGTTTCTCCAAGGGCCTCCGTGTGTGTGTGTTTGCCAGACCCTTTAGTCTTTCTTCCCTCCCTCCCTCCCTTTTCTCTCTCTCCCTCCTTCAATCAGTGTGTTTTATGTCTCAGACAGATTTTCCTCTCAAACACTTGGAGGATTTAAGCGGAGAAAAAAAAAGGCAAATCATTTTATCACCTCTTTTCTCCCTCTCCTCTGTCTCATTCCTTTTCTTTGTCTCTTTTTTTCTCTGCTCCCTACATCACTCTCTCTCTCAGGTAAGATCTGTGTGGGGAGTTTCTGTCTAGACAACCGATTATACCGAATAATGAGGGAGAGGGAGGGAGGGCGATAGACGGAGCATGAAGAAGGGGAGAGAGAGAGAGGGAGAGGGAGGAGGATGTGATGTGAGGAAAAGAGAGAGGTGTAGTGTCAGACAGAAAGAGAGAGAGGTGTAAAGGGGAGGAAGGTAGAGAGGAGGAACATCGGGAGGAAAACAAGAGATAATAGATGAGAGAATAAAAGGATGGAAGTAGACATGGCAGAAGAAATAAAAGGAGGATGAAAGATTAAAGAATAAGAGAGAGGAGAAGGGGATAGAGGGAAAGAAGGACAATAAAGAACAAAGAAGGGAAAACAGACGGCAGAGTGTAAGAGATAAGAAGGAAGATAAAAAATGGAAAGAAGAAACAAAAGATATGGCAGAGAGGACAAGGAAAGGGAAGGGAAAGAAATTAAGAATGAAAGAAAAGATGAAAGGGAAGCAGCAGACACACGTAGGAAGGTTTCTTTAGAAGTCAATATTGTTTTAGCAGATACAGAATATCATTTCATCCTCAACAGCAAAAGAAAAAAAGTCCCAGTTTAAAGGCTGAAACTGCAGCACTGGATAAGCCTATTACAGCCTGTGTGTGTGTGTGTGTGTGTGTGTGTGTGTGTGTGTGTGTGTGGCTGTGTCTGGGAGGTTTTTGGATTTGTTGATCACTCATCACGAAGCTAAGACATGCACACACACACACACACACACACACACACACACACACACACACCGAAAGTAAAGCCTGTGTGACTGATAGGGTTTCCTAACAGCAGATCAGACTGTGTCTCTGTTCTGGCCCAGTGGTGTTTAGTCTGTGTGTGTGTGTGTGTGTGTGTGTGTGTGTGTGTGTGTGTGTGTGTGTGTGTGTGTGTGTGTGTGTTTGTGTGAGTACGTTCTCATTTTGTCTGTGTTCATAATTGAAACCAGGAAAAGAGAGATGTGTATAAGACAGGCGGTGAGACAGAGAGCACGACAGAAAAACCCTTTCTTTTTTTTAAAGACAGCAAGACAGACAGTGAGTAAGCAAGAAAGTTAGATAGTAAGACAGACAGCAGTTAGTAAAACATAAAAGTATGATGTAAGTAAGACAGATGGTCAGACAGTAAACAGTCAATATGAGGCAGACAGATTTCTGAGGGATAAGTTTAGATAGTAAGTATGATGTAAATAAGACAGGCAGTAAGGCAGCGAGACAGTCAGACAGTGAGATTTAAGGCAGCCAAAAAAAAACAACATAGACGGATTGTCATTACTTTTTTTAATGGGGGTCTTGCTGTGTGAGACAATGCAGCCCTCTTATTCATTTCAATGAAGCTGCTCTGTTGATGCAGCGGAGGGCGCCGGCAACAAACCAAAAAAAGTTGAACCAGGTTCTTTGGCTGCAGTCTTGGAACCCATCGGCTTTAGTCTGACGATGATTTAGCCCTCTGGGGGCAATAGCAATGTTTCAGGGATTCCAGTGTAGCCAACGGACGTCCAGATATCGGATACTGTTATTATGAGTGTGTGTACCAAGACTTCCTCTTCCTTGTGCCGGTCATTGTTTACAGTCCGATTAGCAACTTGAGATGTGAGAATTGAGCTGGAGAGACGACGTCTGCAATTGGACTGTTCTCTTTTTGTTATATTTTGGGTAATTTATAAACATATATATATATATTTGGTTGAAACCTTTGCCGTCGGAAGTATTAACTTCTGGCAGGTTTACCCATGGTGGTAAGGTCAAGGATCAGGGATCCAGGCTAAGAATGATCCAACCTACAAAACCTCATCATCCTCGAAGTTGCCAATACATTTTGAATAATCTAATAAAAAGCTATGTCATTGTCAGAGTATTTGCATTTGCGTTCCACCTCTTTAACTCTCCACATGGACTGTACCTGCAACCAAAGCCAACCAATATTACTCAACTACAAACAGACCAGAACCCTTTCGATACCAAAATTTCGTCCCCCCCGACTATAGAGTAAAGTCTTATTTCCGACACAGCTCTAGTACTACAGTATAAACAACTGTGCAGTGTTCTGGCGTCTGATAAGCCTTCAAACTCATTGATTCATTGTTCTCAAACTACCCTTCCTGGATTGGAACAAACCCCACCAATGTACCCCCTTAAATTCTATAACAGTTCATTTACATTTCAGTCTATCAACCTCAAAACCTGCGAGACACCTGCAAGCAGGAATTACAAAGGCAGACAGTAAGTGGGGCCAACTTATTTGGAACCCTCCTGAACAGCTTTGAAAGCCCCCTGCATCCTGCCATTTCTGTAATAAACCCACGATCCAAAATTCACACCCAATTTACACAACAACCAGACGAGCAAAGGTGAGAGAGTTAGCAGGGTAAACCCTCTCTCACCTTCTCTTCTCAAGCTCTCTTTTTCCTTCTTTAAACAACTATTTCTGGCACTTTTCGTGTGTACAAACGAGTACAACACTATAAATGTCTTCCAGACATTCTAACTGTCTGAAAATGTGCATCATTATCCCCACATTTAAACAATTATGGCGGCTCGTCTCTCTATGATAACAGGCTTTTTACTCTGCCTGCAAGTGCAGCTGTCTGGAAACAGCAATAAACACTTTTGCCTTCCGAATTAGTCGGACAACACGTCACACGACCTAGTTCTTTTCCCAACAATACCCAACCCTCAGACAGACAGACAGACAGACAGACAGAGAGAGAGCAGGCTGTCTGTCAGCCAACACGACAGACAGAAAGTGAGTTGGCAA